GATGTATACTTGGAGAAAAGAAACTTTTGATACGTCGTGGTGTAAAGTTCCATTTGTTTCCTCACGCATCCTATATCCTAATAAAGATAAATTCTTCCAAACTTTTTTGTTTTCTTTATTAAGTCGTTACTTCTGCAATGGGATCGCCTTAGAATCAATACAGATTTATCGCCATAACAATAATATTTTGTATTTTTATAAACCTGGAAGTTTCTGATTTTATTTTTACGTATATACAATTGTTTAATTTTTACTTTCTCACATATACAAAGTATATGTATAAAAAAGATTTAAACTTTTCACATTCCATTTCATTATTCGCATAGGTGCACTCATCTATATATTTTTTTTTCTTCCTCATCATAATCAATTTTGTAACGTAAATTCTACATATAATCAACTCCTTGTGAAATATGTTTCTTCCGCATTTCATATCTCGTAGGGAATTCATTTTGTTTCAGCTCTTCTATTCTTTCGTCAATGATTTTCATTAACTTTCCATATATCCATTTTCAATTTATGCACATTTCGTTCAAAGACTTGGTGTCTAACTGGTGAAGTGGGATTAACTGATTTTGTTACACGACTAGAAGCATACTAACTCAATGATGATTCATGACATCTTATGACCTATCTAATGCATCTTTTGCTACTGCTCCAAGTTCAATGTGGCAATTACGCATCTTTAATATTGATCAAATATTTAACATTTCATTCGGTGTAATTTCATTCATTTGCGCGCAAAAGTCATATTTGTGATCGAAGGATCCCAGAACTCCGAATTGATGAATGAATTGGTTCTTCTATGTACTGAATAATTTTTTTTTCAATCATGTAGTTGAGTTTATTTAAGAATTCAAAGCAGCTCAGCAATTTATTAATACCATTTAAAAATGTAAGAAAATCGTGTGTTGCCTTTCCAAGTAAAATTCAAGTTAAAGAAATGACACTTCAAACAATTATCTTAGAATAAAATAAGTTAATCATTCAAAAGGAATAAAATCCCACCCTATTTGGTTTAACTGTTAAGGCTAATAAATTATGACTCATTTTCTAAGAAAAAAACTAAGAAAGAAACATAAATCTGTCGTTTTCCTCGAGAACTTTAAGTAAAATAAGAAATGATTCAATAAACATTACTTTAAATGGATCAGAAAATTAAATCTATAAATATAATACGAGTATTATAAAAAGAAATATAATCGGCTATTTGTTCGGTCTTGCAGAATAGTCAATAATTCCTCATCTGTGTGACGTCGCCAATGACGCCACACCATATTGAATGAATCATAGCCCAAATGTGCATAAAGATTTCTAAGGAGTCGATGGTGGTAGAACTAAATTTATTCCTTTTAGACGAGAGCTGCAGATTGTTGCTGTTTTTATGTATACCTTTCTTAGGTGCAACATAATATGATAATAGTAAAATTCTTCAGAATTTATTACTATATCAAAAGCGACCATAGAAATTTCTTAAAGATTATTAAATGTTTGTTATTTGCTTTTCTCATGATTATGACACTAAATAACCGTATGGTGAGAGTTGAATGCTTGAGCAATTATCCTTTCGCGCTTCCTGAATGCGATAGTCTTCTAGTCAGCGCCAAAATGAATACAGTTCCGCTGGTACTCAAGAACTACCTTTTTCTCAGAACTGCATTGATCATTTTGTTTCGAAGATGATACTCCTCTTCGAAGTAAACACCTTAGAAAACGAGTCAAGTTTTACTCAGAATTAAGAAGGTATGTTGTGGGTACCCTGCGGAACCCTGTCGAGTTAGGACTTGTATTGATTCAAAGGGGTATCAGAGAGTTTCATTAGCATTACCCACAGTTATGCACTTAGAAGCTTATCAAAAGCCTTGAATTGCATAGGAATTTATGACAGGTCCATCAATTTTTTAGTTGATCGTCGGTCGCAATAGGTTTTCCGATATCTTTCCCAAATAGATTGGACAATACCCGTTCCATTCTGGATAGACCAATAACGACTTGAATTTTTTTGTGCGTTTTCGGGACATCTTGTTATTGTAGGTTGGTTAATCTTTTTTTCGAGAAGACTAACAAGACAAAAAGGCAAACCCTCTTCACCTTCAAAAGGTTTCCGCGGATACTTCTCTTCACTCATCGACTAGATAAGGATGTCCTGTTTGTTGTGGCCATGATCTGTGGGTTGTTGAAGATTTGTGTGAGCAGTTATTTTACTTCGTCGCAAGTAAGGTTCAGATCTTCAAACCGGTATGCTTCGTTTTTGCTTCTTTATGAATGCTTGAAGTACGTAAGCCAATGGGCTTCGAACTTGTTAAGAAATTAATGCTTATCTCCAAACAATCATCACTAAGTTTCTGAACTGTCACGGCAGCTTCTACTCTTCATGGAAATGAAGATGTTTTTAAAAGCTGACTAGAGAGCAAGTGCAATCTTTTCAAGCATTTTCAAGCTAATCTTCCCATTTTATTTTATATCTTGCGGGTTTTGATTTGTTTACGTCCTTGAGTACTAATTTTTATCATAAGACAAAATTTTGCACATTTTAATGCATTTAGTTTTAATCAAATCTTCATATTCAGGAATAATAATGAAGTGGGATTATCACTGGTTGCAACAAATTTTTGTCTCTTTACTATTTCTTTTCCTATTTTGTTAAGAGGAAAACGTTCCGAGAACGAAGTGGCAGTGCTAATTTTATTAACACTTTGTATCTTCGAGGACTTCAACAATGGCTTCTTGTTATTGTACAACAAAGGTGTTCGTATAACAAGTTGGAAGTAGGCATTAACCAGAAATATACGAAATATTTTCCATATTATATCATTATAATATATATATACTATTTATCCGATTGAGTGTAAATTTCAAAACACTCCGAAAAAAATTAAGCCTTCTTATATTCCTTCTAGGTATACAGGCTTCACTAGGCATATTAAGTTTGTTTTTTAATATTTCACTTAGATCCAACTATTAAGAGCAATTGGGAGAAATTGTGTAGTAAAAATTTATTTAGACTCATTTTCAGCTAATAAGAGCTTTCCAAAATGGGTAAAAAAAGGTATTGAAAGCAGCTTAAAGTTAGCTAACAGTTGGAAGTGATTTAGTATCGGTGAGAGACATGACCAAGTGATGACTACTGTTGGAAGACCTTACGTGTCATTGCTAGAGACATTGTGATTAATGAGACATTGTAACAATTGTGTTTAATAGCTTTTCAGCAATTCGAATCAAGATTTTATGGCATGACCTACATCACTTAGAGGGAGTTACTTAAATATTTTAACAATGTGGTACTATTTTGTAATAGTATCTAATTAAAATTATTTCCTTCTTTCAATACTTTTGATCAAGATTTTTCCTAATCACCATAGCAAAAGCATCCGATTAACCAAAACCTTACTTATGTAGCTTACTTAAATGACATCACGAATTATTTAACTTAATAAAAAACTTTGACGATTTCATGCAAGAACTAGATTGTGTTTAAAATTTATAAAATTTTTTATAATTACGTAAATCTCTCAATATTTCTTTGTAACTAATTTTTTATAATAACCGGATACGATTACGATAAGGAATTTCCACTCAAAAGAAAAATGACTCATTCGACGTATTATTACGGTTCAGTTAACTCGGAAAATGTGCGATTTAAGTTCTCGCGTTAAGCCCAAATTGAGGAAAGGCCTTAGTTTTAGCTTGAAAGAGCTCAGTCAAGAAGTAGATAAATTAGCGGTCGGGTTTGAGCACGTAAGTCCAATTTACCGGGTTGCTAACCTTCCATTATATCTCTCGCTGAAGTTAGCGTGTATTAAAAATTAAATTCCCGGACGTGAAAATGTTAACTGTACACGTAGTTTAGATGGTATATGAGCATCTAGCTCTGTGGCATTAATTCCATGTTGTTAGTGGAACGTTCCTCTAGGGTTATTAATCGAATTGGTGTGTTTCGGAATTGCGACTTGTACTTGGTATGTAAATGGAATGCGATGCAGGTGTGCAAAAAAAATAAAACAAAGGGATACAATTCCAACAAGATATCCTGAATACATTGAGATTGGAATTTATTTTAAAGATTTCCCTTATAACGTAATCTGTTACTTAAACGGACGTATTACGCTCGTAAATTACGAAACAACAACACAAAGTTTTCCCAACCGGACTGTTTGGACGTCCCCCGAGACTGGATTTAAAGTGCATTACGTGGTCGAAATACAAACGTTTCGACGTGTGTTTCCTAAAAAGGAACGCTCGGGGCTCCGTTGTATTCCAATTCTGTTGTTTGTGTCTCAACCGCGAGCGAAACAACAACCTTCAAATTCCCCAAGTTACGCCATAATTTACATTACATTATAAACAATGGCACTCCGTAAATGTTTTTGCAAAATATATGTGGTGCTTAACAAATCAATTGATGATTATTTATTTTGAAAAATTATTAAATAAAAATGGCGCAATTCTTTGTGCAATTTAACAATAAATGTTTTGTTGTTATTTTGAGTTGTTTTTGAAATGTGTGTTGTTTTATTTCGTTTATAACTCCGTATGACACAAGGCCTTGGTTATAATGATAAGATAATTTTGAGTCTCGTCATTGATAACGTTCCTACAATATCTAAATATGTAAACATGATACATTTATCAATTGAAACTATTTATTTAGACACATGAGTGAACTTTGAGTGTATTGATTTAAATACAGGAAGCGTTTAACCGATCGAATCTGATTTAAAAGTTAACAACAAAAAACACAGTTATTTCAAAAATTTGCACAGCGCTACGAACTTTACAATCCAATTACATTTAAGCACGCAACACAGCGATTCGAACGGTATTTGAAGAGTTTGCGTGTCTTTCTAAAACTCTTTTAAAATAAGAAATAAACTCTCTCCATTAAGAACGAAAATCATCATGCGAAATAACCGTAAAAACCTTACCTAACACAATTTCCAGGTTTTCTCATCCAATTTTCGTAAATTTAGTTCAATTGAGTTTAATTTCTTCATTTTCAGGAAGCCCATAACATGGTTCGTGAGGCGAATGAAAAGCAGGCGGCAGCAGAAAAAGCCCTAAAAGAAAGCCAAATGAAAGTTGACGTGCTCACAGCGGAAGTGGCCGCTTTGAAAACTTTGGTGCTCACTTCGACCCCGAGCAGACCCAATCCACATCTACACCCGCAAATTGATCCCAAAGGAAAAGAAGACGGTAAGAAAAATTTTACGAAACGTCATTTTTACACAATTCAATGTCATTAAAACATAAACTAGCATCTAAAGTCGTTTTATTAACCCAAAAAGTTTTATCGAAAGAAACGCAAATGAAAGAACAAGTCAATAAGGTGTTCAATCAAGCGCAAAAAACTTTTAGTTGTACCGAAAAAAGTTTCGAAAAGAAACTACAAAAACTTATTCGGTTGATGAATAAAACGACAGCTAAAGATTTAAATTTAAACGAAAGTATCATGGATAACGAATTTTGGGAACAACCTAATAAAGCTCCCGTAACTTATATAAGCCTTTACGAAGATGATTTAATTACAATGGGAGTTTTTGTACTTAAAGACGGTATGAAATTACCACTTCACGATCACCCGGAAATGCACGGTTTAATAAAAGTATTAACCGGAAAAATTAAAGTAAAAAGTTTCTCTATAGAAGAAGACCCCGAATTTTTGTATTGTAAACCCCCACCAATTGTATTAACGGCACAAAAACAACCGGATATTCTCGCAGATTCAACATCCGACGTTTGTGTTCTTCGACCTAAAAGTAAAAACATCCATGAAATTGAAAGTGTCGATGGCCCGGCGGCTTTTTTCGATATTTTATCACCACCATATGAAACACCCATGCGAGACACATTAAGAAGATGCAATTATTTTGAAATTACCGCAAAAGTACATCGTGATAGTTACAAATTAACTGAAATTGAGCCACCAGTTTGGTTTTGGAATGATTGCATTAAATATCTCGGTCCAGCGATTAAATTTGAACACGATTTTAGTGTTTTTCAACGTGTTTTATCGCAATTTAGAAATGTTTGGAAAATTTTTAGCGGACGTTGTCAAAGTTCTTAATAAATTAAATCGGTTGTTTTAATTTATATACAACTTTCTCTTTGATGTCTTGGTATTGAAGTTTTAAACGAAAACACGTGCATCTGCCAATTATAGCCGCTACATTTGGAAAATGTTAACGATTTCGATTCGAAAGTTTATTTGTAGAATCTTCAATTCAATTAAACGGTTTATTCACGTGTGGATGGATTATTTATAGTTTTAATAAAACCTACTTTTACATTATTAACCATAATTTGATCGAGTTTTAATTTTATATTTATAATAGGAGTGGCCATTTTTACAAAGAAACACCGAAGATCCCCATCACATTTCAACTTAAAGTACGGAAGAGAAAATTCACCGCCGGAATCGCCTATAAAAGAAGTTCAATCTTTCGTTTCAACATCTCAACCCACCCAACTCGACAAAGATCTACTCGAGGTAACGTAAAAAATATAAAACTACGACATCAAACAGGTTTAAAATAAAAGGAATTGTTGATTTAGGTTGATCCTGTTCTTCACGAAGAGTTTTTAGCTTGGAAACAAAAACCCACATTAGATAAAACAAATCCTTTTGTACGAAGAGTCTACGAGGAAGACATCGATTTGTGCCTAAAGTTTAGCAATTGGGAACTTTCGAAAAAAGTACGAACAGCTTTAGAAGCTGGGACAATTTTTATCGAAGCGATTAACGATAAAAATAAAACTGTTTTTCCTAAGTAAGTATTGAGTATCAAGATATTTATTAATTTATTTATGCCACAGTAATGTATTGGGATTAGTGCACTTTGTGTTTAAATATTTAATCTTTACCGGTTTCATCCATTATTAACATCATCAGGTTTTGATGCATATAATTCCTTCTGGATTTTCAATGCCAAAATACAATTTGGTAATATAATTCAGATTTTAAAGACTTTTCCTTCCAAGTCTTTCAACTACTCGGATGAAATTCATGTTGGTTTAAAAGATCTAAACAAACAAATCAAATAGTCACTTGAGATTTTGAAATTTTGCCAATAAAAATAAGTGTGTTGTCATGGACGATGACAAGTTCTTCTGAAGAAAGTGTTTCAAGCCAATATCAACAAATCATGAATATAAGTGGTGGGGAAAAAGATAAAGGCATATCAATATCAACACATTTATTGCAGTTCCAGAAGTAAATTCTGTTTTTCTATGAAAATTGATTAACTTGTGAACGTTGGCGATGACTAATAATTGCCTCATAAATAAAGCAATGATTAGATATGGACTTACCATCAAGGTTAATGAGATGAAACCTTTTTTGCGTTATGTACTATCATGTCCTAAGTAAATAAGTCTACTATTCAAATATATCTTGTTGAAAAAAATGCCTTCAGATAAATTTATCGCTATTTAGCATGTTTTGTACTTTGTGAATAATAAAACTGCAAAGCAGAACTCTAAATTTAAATAGGTTCGTGTCGTTATTGATTATTTGAATCAAAAAGAGATGTGTGCAATGACAAAGGGAAGTCCTTCTCTTATGGACGTCAAAGAACGACTATCTCATGTACAATTTGCTGCTACAAAGAGGACGATTCTGAATTAAATACTAGAATCTCTGTGAATCCGCCGGCTGGGAAATGGTTGTTGACAATGAAATTTCTGGTTCTGAAATTTTAACGGAACAAAGGAAAAATAGGAAGAATATATCAACAGAACTTTTTGTAAAATGGAATATATGCGCCATCCCCTCAAAATATTCATACGATGATACGATAAATAAAGGGAAAACGCGAAACAAAGAGAGTGAGGAAGTAGATGTTATAAATTATTGCAAAATAAAATATTTCCTAACTACAAAAATCGACCGTTAGCTTCCAAAATGCCTATGCGTTTACAAAGAATTCTATGGGTTCATTATTTTCCGAAAAATTCCAGCAACCCGGAGAAAACTCATCCAATGATTCTTACAAGCGAACATAAGTGAAGCGATATCATTCCCATCAAAACTATTTAATGTTTCCTTTGGTTACATAATTGACTTGTAAAAATATATGTTATTTGGATTACAAAATATACATTGTTCTAATTAGTGAAATTTGCAACTGTAAGTTATTAAAGAAATTATTCTCTAATAAACATTACAAATAATGATGGCAAGAACACGCAAGAAAAAAACAAACTGCTCATAATAATATGTTCGAATTTTTGATATAACAAATGAATACGTTGTAATAAGTAACAATGAATAGATTCTTGGAATATGGTTTATTATAAATCCGAACATATAGGATGATATAGAAAAACGAGAACCTTTAAAATACGTAATGCTACCTTGAGATGTAAACAATCGCGCCACTTAGTAATCATGAATCAGTGATTAAGAACGTCCTTTCCCCACAAAAATGTTTTGCAATAAAAAGTTCGACTAAAAATTTTTAAAAGTTTAGACCTACTTTAACCGTTTGAGTACCAAAGAGTTTTGAAAAGTTCTGTCTAAAAATCCCGAATAGAGCCACCTTCTCTAAATGAATACAAAAAGACTCGGATTCATCAAATTCTCAATTTTGATATGGATGTTAATTGTTAGAGCAAAGAATACGGTTAGTGAGTATGAGTGATCATAATAAGTACTTATTACGCAACAAAGAACACAGAATCAGAGAGAGTTAGACATTATTTGGGAAAGAGTTGGTACTTCTACAGAATAGATGTCAGTAATATATAAATAAATAAATTATAGCCAAATAAATAAAAGATACCGTATTGATTTTAAAACGAAATGTTTAAAAAAAAGGAGAAATAAAGAGACAACACACGGTCTACATTATAAAATTATAACTTGTAAAATAAAAGCACCTTCTTGCTTCTTCTCCTACTTGAGAAGTTAGGATGGCACGTACATCATCGGCTGGCTAGAAGTAATAAATGTACTGCTTGGTATTTTAAATTAAATAAAAAACCAAATAGAGCTATGCGAACAATAATTACTGCTACCATATAAACTGGAACTATGAATCAAACCTGTCACAGCATGTAAGGCTCAAAAAAGAACAGTAAAAAATCTAAAAGCGAAAAGAACGCCAGGTCCGGAAACATTCATAACCTCACTGTGACAAGCTGCAATACAACTAATACGACGATGATTAAAACAAGAAGTAAGATGTTAGGGAAGGGATGGATCTTTCGCGGTTATTGACATAACTTTGTGAATATTATGCAAAAACCAGGAAAAGTGTCAGAAACTGACGTGTAATTGTGATTACCTTTGATTTAAAAAGGGGTCTTAAAATCATTTTGAATTATATAAAAAAAAATTTCTTTTAAATAGTGAGCTTACCAGCTAACACAGGCCGTTAAGCTACAAGCCGTTCTTTGAAACAAAAATTTTCAAGTCATTTCAAACAACTTAAAGTTGCACTAGAAGCATTGAACTTTCAATGCTTCTAAAATCATGTTAATCTGGCTTCTCAATGTTTAGGTAAGCACCTTGAAAGACTCTTCGAAAACAAACCGAACTGAATTAAAAATAAGTTGACCTCCCCTAGTTGTATGATATAAGACTGTATGATATGAGGATGGAATGCCCATGTACAATCTTCCTTTTACTGATTATAACATCTTTCTGTAATGATTATATTTAAAAACATTTTTCCGAACAAGGAAAGAACAAGGAACAAGAACAAGAACAAGGAAAAATAATCCTTGTTCTTCTATTAAAACATATGCCCAAATATAAAGGCATCATTTTATTTGTCAACACTACCACATTTTTTTATCAATATCATATTCTTATCTAACTATACACCTATGTGTATTAAGCTTTCTGAGGACTATTTTAATGACAACTTTTTTTCTCCCTGTAGATCAGTGTTTCCCAAAGTGTGGTACGCGTACCCCCAGGGGTACGTAGATGTCGAAAGTTTAGGCTACCGTTAGCTTTAACTGTATACAACATTTTGTCATCTAACTGTAACAGTATCCTAACCCATTACGACTAGTACCAAAATATATTGTATTAGCTGGTATTAGCATAATTTTGGTTACAATACCAACTATTTTGTTTCATCAATATTTGTTATAGACAAGAATAGCTATTTGCTTAACGGTTGAGTTTACGAGTAAAAAATAAGATTTTGTGACGTCAAGCTTTGACGTCAATTATCAAACTTCTAAATCGCCATAAGTTTTCTTTGTTTACCCATTAATCAATAAGTGTTGATGATATAATCAATTAGAACATACATTTTATATGTACATGATTTTCATTTTAAATCAAACTGATTTGACTTAGTTAAAGTGAAACTCTGGTTAGACGATGCTATTTAAACAATTGTCATTCTTATTTGGAATACGTTTTTATTGACAAGCTTCTCCATTCCACCAATAATATATGCCATCATTCGACTTTTATCACACAAAGCACACCACATTTCTTTGTCGTTTCCAACTGATAAGTTTTGTATTTCTTTCGGCGTTTGATGTGGCATAACATAAACCTTCTTTGGTAAACATCAACGATGAACTTTATTGTTCTTCTACCAATTTCTAACACTTTACCAAACTTAATAAGCCGATATCGAGTGGTTAACATTGAGGCCATCAATCAACATTTAGGTTATTAAGCTTTTCCACAATTATTCCTTTTAAATAATCACACGGGTATGCAAAAAAAATGCATTTCCTTTGCATCTACATCAATATACTGGACGTCTAAGTCGATATGGCCCTACACTTAATGCTTCCTACTTTTTTACACTTGGTTACGCCAACGAATTAGCAACATGATTAAGCAGGAAACTTTTAGAACGTACTTGATGAGGAAGTTAAGTTTTCTGAGGTTTCCTGAAAGACATGATACAAAATCAACAAGCAGGTTGAACCAATTCAGGAGAAAATATATTGTACTTAGGAGACTTTCACCTCCTGACCTGTAATGTATCGTTTTTCCATAACCATATTGGAACCTCTTTCAATTCTCAATTATTTTGCGAATGATTTTTTGTAGTTTTGAAAGAAATTATGATATTGTTTTATAAAACGCACCTGCTATATCTGATAAGATCATCGCAAAGGAAGCTCTGTTTCTAATGATAATCCAACCCTTAATCTTCAACTGCTCAAATTCTTCTCAAAATTTTCTGCTTTAAAGAAGCTTCACCAAATAACTAGGTATCATCCACACCAAAATTGTACAGACTTGAAGAACACCATATCATTTATGTTCTATGTTGTCGCAACTTTTCTTGACCTGAAATATAAATATTAATCGAAATTACATTCAAAGTTTGCTTTTTACTCCTCGATTCTATATACACCTAAGTGCACTAAAAACCACATACGTTGGTGATTGAAAAATGTTTCTAAATTTGTTGATTAATTCAAGATAATTTTTTTTCCAGAAAATGTGCCTTGTTAGAGGTTCCAAGACAATGTTTTTATCGAATGAGTATTGGAGAACCGGAAACTTGGTATTATATCTCACAAATATGCCGAAATAGGGTAATTAATAATAATCCGATTTATATTCATAATAATTTCATCAACAATTTATAATTTTTAGATAATCGCAGTCTGTGATTTTCTAAACTACTTAAAATATATTGAAGGAGGTCTTGTAAAAAGCTCAGGTAGGTAAATTAAAATAACTGTTAATCTTTTACAATCATTTTATTTTTTTGTATAGCACATGACGTGTATTGGGAGGTTGCAAGACTTCGTAAAGAAATAGTCCTAGCAAGATTAGGCCTAAACTTAAGTTCCTGACGTTAAAAAGTATCCCAAGGAAATTAATTAAAATCTACTATTTGTATATAAATCAATTTAAATAACATTTTTGATATTGTGCCAACGAAAAAAAATGGGGATTTTTAAACATGTAAATATTAATCGAAACGAAGTAAATTTAGTAGTGTAATAGATCTGTATACTCAAGCCAAAGACTTGTCTGTAAAATGTACTCTTCTCAAGTACTCGTAAAAATATTGACAAAACCAACTATAGACCTTGACACAAACAATTAATTAAAGAAAATGTAAAAAATTAAATTAATAATTTAATCATTATCAGCTTAACGCGAGGTCTTGGTTGTAATTTTTTTTTTGATTTCGTAATCAATGTATTTTTATGTAATTTTATTAATGTAATGTATGTTTAATTGTATATGTTGAATATATGAATGAATCTCTTTAAAAGGATATTGTTAAGAAATAAACGAGTTTACAAATTATTATCAAAACGATTTTTCTTACCTTACATTCTTATCCCATAGATTGATTAAGGATCTCAAGGTTCTATTAGGATATGAAGTTTTCAAAAAACTTCATTGGTTTTTCTTTGGATTAATTAGGTTAGGTTGGGTGATGAATCCAACTTACCCGTTTTCATTTCATCTATAAAACATACAAATAAAAAAAGAAATTAATTTTTAACTATTAAACAACAATAATAATGCAAAAGTGTAGTAGTAGTATATCAACTTTGGACAAAAGTTTTATTAACATCGATAAAAAATGATTTGTAAATAACTAAACAATAATGGATTAAATATACGATGATCTATGATACATAACTGCTACAATTTACGAGGTGTGCGACCGCCAGTTTGAAGAAACGTCCCCGTGGCGATTAAAAATAGTTACTCTTAGGAATAAAGGGGTTAATTTCTTCATGCGTGCGGCCAACGACCCTTAAGACCTATTGCGAGCGCTCGAAAAAAAGACAAAATAAAAAAAAGAAAACGGCGACACGTAAGACGTCGTTTCTTTTACTTTTTTTTTAAAAGGTAAAGTTTTTTTTTCAAAATATAAATGAATACCTGAAAACAAACACGAGAAAGGACCAAACTTGGACATTAAATGCAGCTTTTATTCTTTTACACGTTTGTAAACAGTTTTACAATGTGTCTGTGTGTATGTGTGTGTTATGTTGTGTAATTTTTTATATCTTTTAGTTTCATACTCTCTCCTCTTTTTTTAAAGTGGTAAGTAGAGTTGGATATGCTAAAACACATGAAACTTATTTAGTTTTTTAAAACTCACTTCCGTTCGCGTCCACGAGGATTGTAGTAAATCAGTCTGCTTTGCTTGCTTTGCTATAAAATCGTTTTTAAATTACAAACTAGAGATTCTCGAGCCCCTTTCTCGAAACCTTTCCGCTTAATACTGCTGAGAAAATTATAAAAAAAGAGAATAAACGAATAAACGAAAAAATAATAATAATAAACAAACCGTGTGCTTGTATATCACAAGAAACGTTGGACAGTAACAAAACCTCGTTTCATTATTTCCTTTTTTTGCTATAGGGATGGTGTTTTTAATAAATATATTCCAAAATAAATTGCACAGTTTTTTCACGATTACAACATATTTTTTTATATACAGATTTCATTGGACTGCATATAAAAAAAACACAAAAAAACTGTACTCCGTCATCTTCCTCTCACCCATCATTATTATGTCATTCTCATTATCATCTTTCATCACCTTAAAACCTTTCTCTCCTCATCAAAACCGAGCTACTTAGATTTAGATTTCGAAGCAATTACGTTTTACACACTAGTAAATAATATAAAAATAACAATTAGGCTCTTACACCTATTCATATATCGATTTGTACACGGCCACTTATTACTTCGTTTTTTTTTATACAACACATTCCTTAAGTCCTATTTTCTTTTTTCCACCGTCAAAATAATCGTTCATTAGCCAAGTTTTATTTTATACTCTTTTTCACTGAATGTCCCAAAAACGAACGCACTTGTGGTCGCGTCTTGGTCACCTGTGGCTCGACGAGACGTCGTTCATATCGTACAAAACTTGCGCTATCGTCCTCGATGATTCCACGTTACTTAAGGCTACATTCGCCAAATGCGGTTCATAATGCTTTAAGTACCTACATAAAAAAATGTTTTAGTTGTCATCATAAATTATCTGATTATTTTTAATTACCTCCTGCAATTACTGCTGTATATTACGAGATTCCTAAGTATGAGAGAGGCTGTTAGACGGATGCTTTTCGTAACCGGTCCCTCATTGTCGTCCTAATAAAATAAAAGATTTTTATTACACTCTTTAAAAAAATAAAAAAAAATCTTGCATGCAGAAAAAAACTTGTTGATAAAGAAAAAGTTTCAAATATGAAGGTTCAAAGTAAAAGTGTAACAATTCAAAGAATTAATTTCAGATGGTAATTTTAATTATCTTACAACATCTATAAATGCATGCATAAGAAATAGTTCAAGAATAATCAATGTTGAAACAACAAAATTTCCAAGAAAAAATATAAGTTAGAGACTCAGGAAAAGAAAATCACTATAAAATAATAAAAATCACACAAAACCTATAAAATAAATTATTTGTTTAACCCTTTAACGCACACCATATTAAAACACTTTTTTTGTATTAGTAGAAAAAAGTTAGTACAATTGAATGATACTTCAATATCTAATAACTATCGTTGCACAGAACATTTCAAACGAAATGTTATTCAGAAAATAATTTCCATAAAAGATATTTTGGGGCATTCTTAATTTCATAATTAAACATTGAAATTTTCTTAAATAAGAACATTCTCTGGGTAGTTTAAGTAATACACTTCAGTTTGACAATGTCTTTCGTTTTGCTTATCTTTAGCGGTATATCCCCGATTTATTTGTTCGGATATGTTACGATCGCATGTAAACAAATAACTCCGCCATAATTGTTGATAAACACAGCGTGTTGTTTAAGTAATAAATCAAAGGATTAAGTAATGTTAACTAATATGTCATTATTTTAGTGTTTGGTACTTTTGCATTACACATAATATAAATAAATACAAATGCTTACATATACATATAACATTAATAATAGCATTAAATTATTAAAGAGATAAAATAGGGTAATTGTAATATGTATATTCTTGTCAAAGGTATATTATTAGCAATTATATCTTTACGTAATAAGAAATGTTTAAACTATTACGTTGTACAATAAATAATAGTATTCATATCTTAATTGATATAATTTTGTATTACATTTTATTTCGTAATTACATCCAATATCATTACTTGTTACATAAGCTATGCTTTAACGACAGAATTTTATTACCGAAACTAGTCAAAGCGTACTACTGCCCAGAGATAATAAGACCACAAGGTTATTAACATTTTATCGAAACTTATCTCGGTGATTTCGAGTTCTTTACAGATTTAACATCGAAATTAAGTTATTTACTGATTCCCACGCAGAAGGTTCATTAATGTTAATTCTTATTATCTCTGTTTGGATATACACCAAATTAAAATTTTTGGTTTTCCATTTTTTCATATATCGGATAATTTGCAGCATACCTAATCGCAATCTCTATCCTCCTACTAAAAAACAAAGGGGATTGCACACATCCTACCCAATCTAATACCTTTAATAACTGGGTTTGCTTAGATCAGTTCTATCTATCATTCAGATAAGCTATCTAACCTTCTCTGGGCTGAGAGTTAGGTAAGCGACAAATACGCGGCCTTGAAATGCCTCTCCCTTCTACCGCTTTAACCTAAACAACTTCCCATAGATGGATGGAAGGTTTTTAGTGACTACAGATGGATGTTATCCTCCTTGTTGTGATGTTATCAATGGCTGAAATAGACACGCTCAGTAGCAAGACTCCCCATCAAACTGATCGGAATAATTTTAGTAGCTTCTGTGAGACAACCATGGCTTGGCTATATTTTGGCCACTTGTTCAGGAGAAATCCCGTTAAAGAATTACAAGCCGTTTTAAAAGTTTCCTTACAAGATCGTTCTACAGTAATTTTCTCTTTAAGACTCCAGCAATTAATCTAAAACGTTGAATCGCTGGACGCGTGCATATTGCCCTCACGTTACATCAATTGAGTCATTGGATACTCTGTATATGACAGTTTTGCATTTTCGTATCAAAAATATGGACATCAAAGTCCGTCATAAGATGTGCAAGTGGTGTTCAACATTGAAGACGTGATAAATTGTCATTTTGTATACTTATTAGTTGGAGGAAGCGCTAGAACATACAAATGGTTGATAAACCTTAGGTACAACTCTTTTTTTTCATATGGAAAATAACCGTAGGGTTTTTAAATCAAGAACTTTTAAGACTATTTCTATCTTAAGAAAAGAATGTGTTTTGACGACTCCTAGATAGGTTATTCGTTGAAGATGGCTAATCTTGAGGATCGAAACAATAACAGAACATCAAAAGAGTTGCTTAAATGGTATTCAAACGCCAAGTCAAAGAATTTGTTGGAAATACACAAGCCCTGTATTACAGGAATTGCCCAATAACAGTAAAATTTGAATATCGTTAAACCATAGTACTATAGGAGAAGAACTGCTAGTACTTTTCAACTCATTTTACGATTTTGGTTCTTAGTCACGATGTAAAAGACTTATATGTATTGCTAAAGATTAATTTCATTCAGAAGAGGTCTAAATATTAAATAATATATTTCTTAAAAGTCACAAATACGACTTTCACATATTTAGATTTTGGTACTAATAAATTTTACAAGAATATGGCAACTGATACATACACTATTTTATATAAATCATAGATTCTACCAAAAATTGTTAGAACAAAAGCATTAGAACATTTTAAAGATGTGGTAGCAATAAGATAGAATGAATAAAAGAGAAGTATATTTAAGTTTTCCTCTTAATCTTAATGCTTTCTAAGAAAGATAATTACTAAAGAGGTGAAGTAATAAAATCAAAAATAAATGTACACTTGAAAAAATGGAATGTGGAATTGATTTCTGTCAAGTACCACTTTGCTCTATAAACTTCCACTTAGACCAAGTGATATCGCAAAGTTGCTGTTATAGTATTTGGCATTGCAGTTCTGAATGCATATCTAACTCACAACAAACATTATTCTAATAATAAAGATATCGTTATAGCAAAATTGAATGTTTAAGAAAAATCGAGTTGGTATTAAACCTAAACAAAGATAACAAACGCAAGAAATTATTTTTTTATAAATTTTGCTTTAAATAATAAACTATTAATAGTTCTATCATAGAAATTAAAAAAATTAAAACATAAATTATCATGGATAGATAGCAGCTGCAGAAAGTAATAATTTGAATTTAACATTAATTTTAAAGAATTAGTTTCAAAATTTAAGATGTGGTTAATATAAGTGGTTTTAAAAATTTTATCAGAAAAATAAACAACTATAATCGATCATAATTAATTTATAAACCTTTGGTATACAATGTATGCAATTTTTTAATAACAAATACCAAATTTAAAATATAAAGGCAAAAGTTTTCCAAAATTGAAAATTTGAAAGAGTTGATTGTACCTAATTGGACAAACCTTTTGAAGTATAAACATAGGAGTAAATATGGTCTGCTTTTTCTGCTTAGACTCTAATAACGTTATGCAAAAAAAAATTAACCTATTTCATCCAGTCTGTTTAACAATTGTTAATTTGTTGATAGCCACACAGTAAACGAGAAATGGAACATTTCGAAGTAACGCAAAATAGAAGAATCTTACAAAACTTTAAGTAGATATAAATGCTGGATACAAAACCTTCTCTGCAATACATAACCCAGGCTATATTTTAATACATCCTGACAAAGATGTTAAAAATTACTTAAGATAAGCACTGTAAATTTTGTTGTATATAATACATAATTAACATGATGCATTTTTAACACTTATGATGCATTTTATGGTTTTATTTCTCATCTTCCTATTAGATGAAACTATTAGAGGGAAAAATTGAAAGATCTAGACTTCAAAGAGAGCAAACATAGCTTGTTTATGACACTTAATTGATAAGTGTATGAAGGGAATTGATTGCATCCTGTTGATACCAAATGGTGTGAATAGCTGAAGTCTGAATATCTTAAGCTGTAATATCTAGAAAAACTTTGAAGCTTAAAATACGTGTAGTTTTATGTAATAAAGTATTTATATTATCTTTATATTTTTCTTGTTATCATACCAACTACTGTATTATACAATAAATATATAATATTGTTTATAAAATAAATGACTAAGTTTTTAGTAGAACAATTCTAATTTTTCAAGTTATATGATTACTGAAAGCAATTTAAATAAATGATTTCTTCCAAATATTTTCTTTAGTTTTCAAAACAAAAACATATACAGTTTTTTCCTAGAATTTTTCAAATCGCTGTATGAATAATAGTGGTTAACAATAGTTTTTCAAGGCAAATCCATTAGATACAACGACGCATTTAATTTTATTTTCATTTCCTACAAGATAATAGCAACAATAACCACACACAACAAAACCAAATTCCATTAAACTCAGTTAAATCTTCTAAATTTGACCGGTTATGTAATTGAAAAAAATTATTTTTTAAATTTAAATTAAATTAAGATTAATTAAATATTATATGTTTTTAAATTAAGCCTTAATGCGTTAAAGGGTTAATAATAAAATGAAATCAAGAAAATATCATGCACTCCAAGCAAACCATTCACCTGTTCAGTTATTGAAGGCCCAGGTCTGGGCGGAGGTTGAGAAGAACTTACAGTAGAACCCTGCATTTGAATGATTTCCCATTAATAAAGCCATAACTTGTTTTATTTTTTGAAAGACTTTTTGATTTCTTTATATATGCTTGGTGCTTTTATTTTATGTTAGTAAGAAAGTAAAAAATCAACAATAAGCCTTCACCTTCTTAAGTATTATAAGTAAATTTAAATATTTTCTGATTTATAAACAATTTTTAATAAAACAATATTTTTACCTGTAATTCCTTTGGATTTACAAATTCTAACGCATGCCGTTTAATCGCGTGGAACGCTGCATCTGGTGCATAACCAGGATGCGGAGGGGCCACTGCTGAAGTCGAAGCTGTTTCACTTTTCCCTGAATGTTGGGCTTGTTTCCGACGAGTTAAACTTGCCCTCATAGCCTTTAAAAATATTCAATCAAATTACTAAGAACTTAACCACTTTTAATGACTCTATACCTCTGTATTACAATGTTTGTCATTTAAATGCGTCATTAGAGAGAATCTTTTCCTCTTCATATTGTCACATCGATCCCACTGGCACATAATTTCCTCGGAACCTTTTGGAACATGCATTTCACAAACGTGCAAGTAAACTTGGTTTGCTGATTTAAATTTCGTTTCACTAAAACAAAAAACGCAAAAATTAACATGTTTTGAATAATTAACAAGAAAGTTATTTTTACATTTGGCAATCACCCCATTCACAAACGAAAGGTGTCGTTAAATCACGAATGATTTTCGGTTTTGGAGACACCTTAATCTCCTCAGTCTTTTTCTCCGCTGTGATTGTAGTTGTAATAGTAGAGGTACATTGCGAAGCAGCACTTTTAATAATACCACCGCTCGTCGAACTTTGATTATTATTATTATTGTTGCTAACGCTCGACGATTGTAAAATTGGCCTTTGAACCTGAGTTACAACCACTTGTTGTCCTTGAGGAGTTACAACAACCTTTTGTTGTTGCGATGGTTGTTGAAGGATGATGATCGTTTTTGTGTTAGTTCCTTGTTGTTGTGGTGTTTGCGCAACTAAAACCGTTTGGGGTTGACCATGTACCATCGCGGTTTGGGGTTGCGCGACCATATAATTTTGAGTTCCACTCGTTTGGATGACATATTGACCTGGTTGAGTTGAACTAGCAACCAACTGAACTGGTCCTTGAAGCCCTTGAGACAATAAAATTTGACCAGTATTGGCTTGTTGAAGAATAATTTGTCCTGGTCGTTGTTGTTGGGGATTTTGAACGATAACTTGACCGCTTTGCGTTTTAAGTTGGGGTTGAGACACGATTATTTGACGTGTTGGTTGTGTTAATAATACTTGCTGGTTTCCATCGACGAAAACTTGCGGAACTGAACTCGTTTGAGACATTACGTTGCTTTGAGACGATATTACAACGGATGATGGTTCTTCAACTGGAATTGGAGGAGAAACTGTTGTTGGTTGTTGGACTTCTTGCATTAATTCGTCAACGTCTTCGTCTTCAAGGATGTCAGCGGCCATATCAGCAAATAATTTAGCTGCTGCCGTTGATACTTTCTCTGTTGGTTGATCATCACCATTTGAGCTGGCTACGGAATCTGGAGCGGGTGAATCTGCGTTGCCATTGACGTTAGTTAATAAGAGAGGTTTTTTAGCCTCCGGTTCTGAAGGAAGATCATCGCTAGCTGCTCTTTTTAAGCTTATTTTATTCTCATTCAATTTTACGTTAATACAATTTGAATCTTCCTCGATAAATCCACATTGTTCTCTTGCTTCATTTAAATTATTTTCTTTACTTAAAATTTTGTCTATGTGATTTTCAACCAAATCAACACTCTTTTCGCCTTTTCTCAACTCCTTCCCCAAAACCCCATTCATCATCAACGTATCTTTATCAACTTTCTTTTCTAATAATTCCGCCAACATCAGAGGTTTTTTCAAACTATTTTTCACCGAATCTTTGGAATTACTATCGTCATTTAACGGATTATCAATACTTGGAATCCCATTTAAAAGTCCTTCAAAACTAGTTAGTGAATTATCACCATCCTCCGTACTGGAAACACCACCCATTCCGATATTTCCCAAACCCGTACTCGAAGCCAACGAATTATTACCCGTTGAATCACTGTCTTCGTTTTCTATTCTCATATGTTTTGGTTTTTGACTGCTTAATGGTGCCAGTGGAGGTGGAGGTGGTTGTGGGGGTTCTTTTCGTATATTCGATGTCGTATTTTGAGTCGTTGATGTCACATCAGATTCTGTAGTATCTGTATCTGAGAAAAGTTGACGAGCTCCATTTAAACGAATCCCTTTAGGCGTTTCAATAAGAGTCGATTTGTTTAATTTATTTTCAGGCGTTTGAGTTTGTTGAGCTAATAATCTTTGCTGTTGCTGCCTAGCCACAACCTATAATAATTTTTTTAATTATCAAAACCATATTCTGGTCAACAAACACAAAAAAATATGAGTATCATGCTCTATTAATTTACAATTGTAAAAGAAAATTTCAGAAATATAGCACGATTTGTCAAAAAATAAATTGAATATCAAAGCAATATTTTTAATAAATTCTTCTACAATTGTAAAAAAAGATTTAGTTATTGTATAGTTATTGAATTAATGAGGAGAGTTAGATGACAAATTTCAATCACCATGCAGCACTCAAAAACAACAAAAAGAAACTCAAAAAGTGAGAAGAAAGAAAACACAACATCAATATGTACTTACAACAAATCAGTATTATTTGTACAAAAAAAACAAGCACACATTTTGATGAAAATGATGAATAAATAAATGATAAGTTGATTTCAAAAGTAATTTTAAATATTTGGGATTACTTAAGAAATAAACAATAAAAAATTATAAAAAAAATCTAAAATATAGTATTAGATGTTAGTTAGTTATTAGTATGTTACCTGTGTTGTTACTGTTTGGCTGTCGGTAGCAGTCTTCATGCTTACTGCAGTCATGCACTCTGTGGTTACCTTAGTCGCTAGTAAACTTTTGATGAGCGACGTATTTGGTTGACCCGTTCCTAACTCTTTACCACCTGTAGAAGAAGACGCGTTCTGCCCCGTTCCCAGTAAAGCCTGACTTAAATGGGGGTGTGCCATAACCTAAACAACAAAAACAATACCTATCATAAATCACCACTCACCTTCATTGGCATCAAAAAAATCAAAACCACAACCCCCAATAAAAAACTAAATAAAACTTAAAGAAGTAAATAATAGAAAGTGGAAGGTAAGAAAGGAAAGAGTCTAAGGATGACAACTATTACGTCGGATAATAACAATTACCTGACTTTTGGGGTCGCTCTTGTTAGTTAGTACAACGGTGGAAGTGTTGGTCGAAACAACGATATTGGTGGTGGTCGCGGTAGTGGTGACGGTAACGGTCGACTCTCTGGGTTTTGGGGGCGCGCTCAGTTGCGCTTTGAGAATGGGTGAGGCAGGAGACGCGGGGGGCGTGTCCGAGCAGTCGGCCGTAACCGACAGCGAGACGGTAGAAGCTTTGCGCTTCGCAGTTGACGCGATACTTTTGGAAGGACTTTGTACGGCGACAGAGGTGTTGGTTGTGGTGGTTACGGATGGTTGTTGTTGTTGGACGTTTACCGATAACGGCTGCGCGCGCGCCTTAATGCCGTCGTAGTATTGGGGATCGCTTGGCATCGCTGGTTTCACAGGATTTGGGCCTACTGTACCACCAAAGACCGATCTAAAAGAATAAAACAAAGATAAATAAAATCGGAAAAAATTTGTTTAGACAATTCTTACCGGACACATCTTGGAAAATGTAACGGAGCTATCACTCCTCTCCTCCCAATTTTCGCACAGGAATTTATGTAATGTTTGTATAATTCTTGGTGGTCAACACGGCCATTATTACTTGGTTCATAAGTTGCTCTCAGCCAGGCTAATGCAAATTGTTCGTTTTCTTGAATAGCTTGTTGATGAGCGTGTTGTTGTTGTACCATTTGTTGAGGAGTGATAGCCGGGGTTGCTTGAGGACTTCCAGCCGTAGGTTGTATTGTTATTGGAGCTATATAATAAAGTTACAAAAATTTTATTCTTAGCAAATTACAATTCAACTGATACATACTTGTCGTCGAACTTTGTGACGTTGGGGTAATTGTAATTAATCTTTGTGGTGCCATTTGAACAACTCTTTGTGGTGTATTACTCAAATTTCCCGATTTTGTAGATATTGAACTAACAACAGTTGTTGGAGTATTTGCACTAGACGCAGGAATGGACGATGATGTACCAGAAACGTTAGTAACCGTAGATGTAGCACCCGGTTGGGTAGCTAAAGATCCACCGGGAACGGTTTCAACAAGTTTCATACCAATACAGGCTTTAGGGCCATAACTTTTACCTTCAACTGTGACCAAAGACACAAGAGTGTCAACGACACCGTGATTATTGACTATGTAGTTGCACGCACGTTCACCGAGAGAAGATAGAGAGTACAAACACTCCAAAGTATATATGAGAAGCATGACGTCGTGGATCGTCAAGAAGGTACACACACGTTCGTAAACTAAGCTTTCCAAAGCGCGCGTTAAAGAGTCTTCGTTCAATTCGTTTTGACTGAGTTTATTGAGTGCGTCTAAACACGATATGCAGGAACTGCGATCTTCGCTTTTTAAACCGACGGTGACGATTTTGAGGAGATGAGTGGCTAGACGGTCGTTTTGGGGGTCTTTTACTTGAAACTCGGATGAAATGTTGCCTAACATATCAAAACCGAGGTTCTGTAGCGGACCCCATCTGGAACACAAACACAACAACATAAAACGCACAAAAGTCCGATTGTTCGATAAAATGGGAACGTTCTCATCGATAAACGACAAGTTCCTTAATATTGTCGCGACCTGCAAAACTCGTTGACCGATATAATCTCTCGTTCCAAGATTCCTGCCTAACGAAAACAATTCACTGTCCGTAGGCCCTAACCTTAACTTAAACCTTTCATCATTTAGGTCACTATCACTACAACACTCATAGAAATCACTTATCACATTTTCTAAGTTACTATTGCCGCTCGATGGTGTCCTTTGCACTTCCGTCGCGACCACTTTCTCGTCGGATTCGGCAGGTACGTCACTGAGGGGAATGCCGGGTTCGATACCTCCCGTGGCCACAGCACGAACGGTTTCCGAACATGAATATTTTTTCTCATTGGTGAGATCCAAAAATTCTTCCGATTCGATCACTTCGTTCCAGAAAGTGTTTATCGGATGCCTTCGGACTTTGTTGTAAGAATCCTCGAAAACCGCCCGCATAGAAGGGTGACTGAAAACTCCAGCGTGAGCCACCAGGTAATCAACTATCCGAGGATGTCTTTCAATTTTTAAGGTGTGTTTTCCATCGTTTGACAGAAGAGTGCATACGTTTATTGCAAAATCTTGTTCATTGGGCAATGGCGACAGAAGCGATAGAGCTAAACGGTCGTAGTCTGATGCTTTGTAGAGGTCTGTTGAGAGGTGGTTGTAATCTCTAGTTGATTCTAAAGAAATTTAAAAAAACATTAATCATTTACATACAATTTATTACATATTATTTTAAATAAAACTTCAAGGATGAATTGCAACGATATAATTTTTATAAGAAAAAAGATAAATTTATATTAAATAAGTTTACTTTTAACAACCGCCCCGACATGTTTACGTAAACAAATTTATTTTTAGTGAAATAATTTCGCAGATCAACGCTAGAACGAACGAAGAGCCCAGCCAAAGCGTGCCAATCATTCCGACGCCGGCGTCGATGCTTTCCAAAGCCTCTTTAGGTGCGAAAGAGAGGGCAAACAAGCGAATGAACCGAACAAACGAGGGAGCGAACAAATTTTAGGCGTTAAACTGTCGATGCCTATCAATCGTTATAAATCAATACGGGATGGCACTACGCCGCGAACACGTTTATATATGGTGTGCGCCTAAAAAATTGGGTGTGTTGCTGTTTAAAATATCCGCCTTGTGTTTTAAATATTTGTAGTATTTCCTATCTTTGAATAGAGATGTAAATCTTTTTGACTCTGTTTATGTAGTGAAAGAACAAGGTTTGTAAAACTCTAAGCTAAAGAAAATAATTGTAACCACCCCCTTTCACAACTCATGCATATACATACACAGATATTAATAATAAAAGCGGGCAACAAATCAATATTGGAGCCGTCGCGGCGTCATAAAAATGCGCCGCAACCGGCGCTCGGAGCTGAATTGCCCACCGCTGCTCTCGGAACCCTGGAGGCGTGCCCGACTAGAAATATTAAATTTCCTCCCAACAAAAATCCTCTTCAGCAACAATATCATACAGAAAAATAGCAGACGATGGGATATAACCCCAAAAGAAGCGTTCAGGCATAAAAAAAGGAAAAGCAAAGAAAGAAGATGGAGATGTTTTTCTATTGGAATGCTCATGCGGTCGATTTGGCGACGACGCACGACGATTGACCGTCCGGAATGTAAATCTTCTTGTACGCGTAACTGGGTGAACGCTGCGAAAGCAGTAAACGTGCGCAAACACGTTACGTTCGTTCCCTCGATCAGGGCAGACAGAGCAAAATGTGGCGCGTGCGCTCAGTACCAGAGACCTGTCGGCTATTACTACTGTGCATACAACTACTATTCCATACGTGTGTTGGCTCTAACACACGTCGGATGCGTTACTTACAACGCTTCTTAACTAATTTTAGATCTAGACCATCTAAATCTTAAAGTTTCTGGGCTCCAAACGAAGAATGAATGGAAAATTTTGCAATTTCCTTCATCGCATTTAGATAAAAATGAGGTCATACTTCATTTATAGTTTTAAATGAAAACGCCTAATCTTGGCAAGTACGCAAGAAGCTATGTGTATGAGTAATATTGCGTTACGTAAAGCATTAAAAAAGAAAATTTACGACCGAAGCGAACCGACCATAGGCCGCAATTTTATTGTTAACGTTCGCCGTTTGAGTAATTTCAAAGCAGCACGAAGTCGTTCCGTGCGTGATCGCTATGCAATATATACGGGCGTATTTATAAATATTTGAAAAATATCTTTCATAACATATTAGACAACGTAGATTAGGAGCGGTTTATTGGAAATTCAAGCCAAGCCGAACCAAATCTAATTTCAAAAAATAACATAATTGACCTTCAAGAGTCGCAACCTTGCTTGATTATTGTTGAGTTGTTATTTTTAACTACCAACTCATTTTTATTCTTAAAGCTGAAAATATTGTAAATATGTTTATCAAGAAAGAATACGTTTTATATTAAAAAAAGTTGAATATAAATTACCAGTGATGTTGTGTTGACTATAGTTGTACGTCAACGGTACAGAATGAAGAGCCCTAGCGGACCAGCGCTTGTGGCGGCTCTCTTCATCGTCGTCGCTACCCCTATCGGCTTCCTCGCCTAAATAGTGCACCTTCTCCCACCGATCCAAATACCTAAACACAAACACTCAGTATTACTTTTGGGCAACGACACTGACCTACCGATTTGTTTTGGTTCGACTAAAAGGACGACGGCCGCGACCACGTGCTGCTACTATGCTGCTACACACACACACACGTGATCGCTCCGTCTTGCGCAGAACATATACCCACACAAGTTACACTAAACAAACGAACGTACTATATGACAAACCTCCACCAATAAAGACTTTGTCAAGTTTGCTTCAAATTATTATGACTTTGCATGATCAAAATAAACTGTGAGTTTTGGTTGTTTTGTGGGAGTCACAGTCCGGACCAGTGTCAAAATGAAATAACAACATACTGATACTGTGCCGGCTAAAACCACGTGGAACCCACGTGTTGTCGACGCAGCGTGCCAGTGTGGTGGCGGTACGTTCGTTCGTTCAGTGCAGTTCGTTCCGTTCGTTCATTCATAAGCAGGCGCCCGACCAAAACAAACTGGGCAGTCCGTGTGGCGGAGGCTGAAGGTAGTAGATAGATTCGCGGCGCTCACTCACCTCAGATAGATCTGCTTCAAGGCGACGCTCCCGTTGACGCACTTTCCGGGTACGCGAAAGTGCTCGTACAGTTCGTGCCAACCATTTTTTGAATTCACCTACAAAAAGAAAAAATCATAAGTAAACCAACAGAAAAAGCCAGAAGAAATTGGAATCAAAAAAGTTTTGTGGTTAAAAATAGTAATTTCTTTGACATGGTTTCGGGGGTGCCATGTTGAAGATAGAGCTGCGTAAACCTCAAGAAGCTGTTGGGACGGGTTAAACAGTAAACTATTGATTTTTCACCGTTTCTAACTCGTGACCCGAGATTTATTACAGCTGGACTGGGGCGCATCCAGCCCTCGACACGTCTTTTTCCACTGGAAGGAAAGGAAGGAGCAGGCAGGAGAACTCACTCACTTCAGCACCGTTGGATTATACCGAATCGATAATACCGGGTGTAACCCAATGGATTCACCACATATACATTCACTAGAAATACACATCTTTATCTTTCCATAAAATAATTTTATTAACATGATTTAAATCTGTTGATAATTAAAAAAAAACATTTTTATTTTTAGCATTGCTTTTATATTTCATCAGAACAGTTGCTGTTGAAACCATTCTTAACGGAAGTGTGACGTCATGTCCGCGGTGATTACGACTGGCCATTCATAAGGTCAAGCTTAGTTGACGACAAGCCCACTCCAAACAACAAAAAACAGCGATAATCATGAGTTTAGTTAACAGAGGATTGATTGATTAAACGCGTATTTATAAAGTAACAAGTACAATCAGTACATTAAAAAAAATGTAAAAAACTCTTTATGGAGCTAGAAAAACTAAAGGTCAGACGGCAATTACATTTTAATATTCCCATCTACGTATGGATATAAACTGCGTAGAAATAACAATTACGCGATTATACACGCTTCCAAGCAAATTTATTTTAAATCCACCAAGGTCAACTTCGTGTTTGAATATTCACTCAAAATAATTTTATTAAATCCGCAATTGAATTTTTTTTAAATATATAGAAAAAATTGGAATTCAATGAGTGTAAACGAGCCTTAAAACGCCGCAGCCTGGCACGATAGTTGGTGGTGTCGAGTTGAGAAGAGATCAACCGTCACCGGGTTAAAAACACGTTTCCCACTACACACCATAAAAAAAATAAGATAGAAAGCGGAAATTTCTTGGAGTTGAAAAGAGATGAAGATATTTACTCGTCCGACCTAAACCGCTTTGATTCTTTCCGCTCGCCGCCACCCGCACCTCATACAAGCGTTCGGTGGCAGATGGAGAGAGCACGCTTATGGTCAAATACAGATGGTGGGATTCCACTAATAGAAAAACACTAAAACGTTATGGTATAAAAATTAAATTAGCTTTTTTATTCATAATATAATTAAAATTTAACTTATTTAGATATCCTAGAGATTATTTCATTAAAACCAGAATTTTTTTTGAACCAGGAAAAATTATTTGGAGGAGTACAGAATAAAATTCGTAGTGGTGGATAATTAAGGTTTTTTGGTGGTTAGAGTGTGCGCACAGCGATGTTGCCCTGAGGGGGCCGACGATCGATTATCTGGACGGCGTTGCTTCCAGTTTGCACACCGCTAGTGTAAATATTGACTTATCTACGCGCCCAACGCGTAGATAAGTGCGCGTAGATAACACCATTACGAAACGACCGATGGAGTATAAAAAAATCTTCCTTTTTTCATCCAAGGTATTCATAAGTAATATTCACATACATTAGCCAAATGTCCGTTATGAATTAATTTATACTTTAAAAACTCTGAAGACGCACGGCTAAACCCGAAACTTTCTAGTTCTAGGTCTAGTGTTAGTTCTAGTTTTGCACTATCACTAGAACCAACACAAGACCTAGAACTAGAATCATTCGGGTTTAGCCGTCTTGAGAGACGCACGGCTAAACCCGAAACTTTCTAGTTCTAGGTGTAGTGTTAGTTCTAGTTTTAGTTCAATGAAAAATACGACAATCTAAAGCTGAATAACAACTAAAACTAACACTAGCATTAGAACTAACACAAGAACCAGAAACATTCGGATACGTCTCTTAAGCTGACCCATTCACGGGCGTTCCATCTAGCCATATAGAACGATAGCACTCCAATGAAGTTACGTGAATTTCGAATCCTCATGTGATTGGAGTGGAGTGATGAGACGAGTTGGAATTCCATCCGGGCAAAAGACCTCCAAAATTCTATCGCTCCAACTCATCGTGAATTGGAAACCGCGCAACAAAGTGATGGCACGATGGAACGTTGGAGCGATCGTGAGTATCAAACGCGATTATTTTTTGTCTCAGTGCTTACTAAACCCTCGGCGAGGTAGGTTGGTGATTAAGAGTGCAAAGCGTGATTTTGTTATAAGTGTCATTGATATGTAGTGTCGCAGGCAAATGGTTATTTCACGCAGATAGCTTTTTCCTAGTCAGATACTGTCTGCCTAGGCAAACAGTAGTTCGTTACAGTTTTATCATTAAATGTCTAGGCAAATACTATTGGACAACACAAATTGAATCTGTTTAAGCTTGTTTTAGGCAAATACTAACGAGTCAAATTATTTGAATATCATTTTCAAAAAAATGCATAACAGTTTCATATACTTTTAATAAGTTTAATAAATGATTTATTTCTTTGTATTTGCCTGAAAATATTTTAGCCATATGCTATTTGCATTGGAAAGTAGAATTTAAACTGAAATAAATGGAATAAAACTATTTGTCTAGGCAGATAGTACCTAAAGCTATTTACCTGAAACAACCATTTGCCTTCGAAACTTTCAGATCCCCATTGCCCTCATATTGGTATCTTTTTTTCTGAATTAACGGCGTTACTTTAATAACAGTCTTCATTCATCCCCAAATAATTCCTCCAGTCAGAAGGTTCCAAGGTTAATTTATTAACCAAATTAAGATGAGTGTGTCTTCTTTTATTTGGGACCCATTGTTTCTTCATCTTTTTTTTTGGTTTTCTCTTTTTTAAGTATAGATAAACAGCCGTAGATAACATGAGAAAATTTTCATCTATATTGCGAAAATTAAAATATTCCAGTATAATACGAACTACTGCGGCAGAATGATTGGAACATTCGTGAATGATCCCTAAAATTGCTGCTCACTTTTTAATCACTTCATTAGAATGATTTCGCACCACGCCACTCCATTTGGAACGTCCATGCTTTAAGACGGCTAAACCCGAATGTTTTTAGTTCTAGGTTTAGTGTTAGTTCTATTTGTAGTTTAGTAATAATAATATATATTATATTTCACATCAATCAAAATTACAAATCAAGGTAAATCAACTCAATATATAAACACAAAATAATCATATCAAATCAAAAATCTAGATTTTCTGTTTCATAAATAATATGATCCTGTCACATACAAGCGGTAAGTATAATTGCCGCTTGTATGTGAGATTTGGTGTTGTGTCGATAATCGTGTGAATAAAAATATACAACAATTTAGCGCTGAATAACAATAAAACTAGAACTATCGTCCTTGATTCATGTAACGTATAGAAACTTGGGGAATACCCCGAGTTAATCTATGTGTAAATATGGAATAGAGCAACTTGAGGAATAACCCGAGTTAGATTCTATCTAAAAATATTTAGAAAACTTTCGAAACCAATACTTTCTTTAATTAAATAATTTGTACTTATAGACTACTTTAATATTAATACCTTTATTGTCTTTTGAATCAGAGTTGGCTCATCCAACTATAAAATTTAAAAGAATGATATGGCTAAATCTCAATGTAAAACACTTACGTGACAGAATATATTGCAACATTTATTACATTCTAAAGAACAGTATTTTTGCACTCATCTAAAACATGCGGTATGAGTGACGCTTAGGAGTTTTTAAAATTAGGGCGTCGATGCATTTATTCTGTCATGATGATATGAGTATAAACTCTGCATTCAAATGGATAATTTAAACTCAATAAAAAAATAAAGGTTGATCAACATTAAAAATTTATGATTGAATTCTAGAAATTCTTCTTCAGGTGCCCTCTCCGTTCCGAAGATCACCAATCATTAGCTAAATAGCTGGTTATTATTGCAGCCATACCATTCCCTCAGGTTCTTTAACCACGAGTTTAGTCTTCTCCCTATGGATCTCATTCCTCTGATTTTTCCTTGCATAATAACTTGGAGTACTTGATACTTTTCCCCTCTTGTGATGTATTCCAAAAAAAAAAACAATTTTCTCCGTTTAATTGTCTCAATTACCTCCTTTTCTATCTCAAAATATTTAGTCTGTTATATTTGAAGTCTGTTATATTGAGGTTTTACTGTACTTTTAAATACGAAAGGTGTTTTCGATAGTTTTAGACTTGAAATAAATATAACTAAACTATTTGAAATAACAACTGTTCAAGATATTTCAAAAATACTATTCCATTCCCTTTCAGACGATGTCCATTACGCGGAACATTTCGCTTGTAAAATTCCGCGCAACATATTCTCGGCACGTAGATTTGCGCCATCTGATCTCTGCCAACGGGCTTCTCGGACGACGTATCGAGAGCAGCACCAGCAGCAGGAGAAGAAGCAAGAGGAGGCTCTCTCAGCGGAGAAGGACGGCAAGTTCACCGACCGGACCGAGAAAGTTACCGAGAGAAAAGGAACGAGACCGGCTCTACTCTGTTCATATTCTCTCCGGCAGCACTCTTTGTGCCGCGTCGCGTCCGCTTCGTTTCCTGCTCGCTCTCCCGTTTGTTCGGTTCAGCAAATGTAAAGGCAAATTAAAAACGAGCGAGAAGAGGGCGGAATTCAATACAAAACCGGGGCCACACACACTCAGAACGAATGGAAATCGCACATAGGGAATTATGACGTCTGCTTTTTTTCCTTTCTTTTTATGGCGGTTACACAAACAAATTGTGCAAGGTTCATATCAAGCTATTTTTTTGTTCTTTGCGTTGGGTTGGAAGATTTTAATTTATAAATTAATTTTGTTGCGAGATAAATTAGTGTAATATCTTTAGGATGGCAACTGGTTCTTGAATAGTTACATTGAAACAAGTTTAACAGGGACCTTGAAATGTCCTCGTGTAACTATAAGTGGTTGCCACTAATAGTAGAACCTTTATAAGTGCTTGGTTACAGTTTACATCATCTTAACAGTTACCAACTTAAATTGATGTATTCATGCTCAAATATTTGAAATGAAATAATTATCAAATTTTGTGATTGCTCCAACAAGTGCCTTAAATGTTGGTACTCCCAGAGTCAAAACTCCGAGGGCTTAAGCGCGCGCTGTCTCCGAACTAAACCAGACGACTACGACTACTATCGCTGCCGTTGTCAGGTCCTTCTCTCCGCGAGAGTGTGCGAGTTCGACCGCCCCCGTGCAGACGCCGAGTCTACACTGGTCCGGTTCGGTTGTGCGATACCGCGCGTTGTACTAGGTCAGGGACTCAACTCGCTTACTTCCCCCCTTTACTCCCCGATGGGCGTCGTCGTCGTCGTCGTCATCTAGGTGTGCTCGACGACGCCGTCGACACCGAACGCACTCGCAGCAGATACGGTTGTTGCCCGAGTATTTGGTTTTTGCTGCCCCCGTTTTGTGCACGCGGAATCCCGTGTGTTGCCGTTGCTGCCACTGCTACTGCTGCTAATCGGGCGGGCTCCCGGCCAAATGGGAAGTGAACCGAAGGACGTGGTGTTGTGATCTGTGAGTGTGCGGTTCGGAGTCGACTCAACAGTTTGTCGCGTGCCACACTGTTATTCCACTACTACACACAATTTGTCAATCGCAGCTTCACTATAACATCAAAAATTGTGTAGATAATAAAACGTTTTTAATGAAAAAAATTATCTTGAATCAATAAAGCATTATCTTATGTTGTTATTATTTTTAGACCACAATCAACGTACGGTATAAAATGTTATCTCTACGCATCTCCAATAAAATACATCATTTATGTGCACTCCTACAACAACAATCCTACGCCACCAGACTAAAAAAAAGAGTATTATTCATTAATACATGTACATACTTGCCTAATTATAAAATAACGGTACAATAATTTAATAATTTCCAACATTTTTGATTACCATAATTATGTTATTGCTGAACATTTCTGTCACTCACTATATCTATCCATACATCCGTTATTCCCCATTTTGCTACCACACTCATCTTCTAACGGGATGGAAATTTTTTTTTCTATATCTCCCATTAAATTTGACCAACTTTTCTAATTGAAACATCAAAAAGCATTAAAACAAATATGGCTTTACACGTAAATAATGTACAAAACGTTATTTCGATACGAAATTAAACTATAAAATATTCCACTAATAATCCATCAAACGAGAATAAATATTCCGTTAACGGTGTATATTGATTTCTAAAATCTATTTTTCTCTATAAACTTTACCGCAGGATCAATAATTCGATAATACCAAGAATTAATAATTAATCGCTTCTGGACAATTGAACTGACTGGAAAAACAATGCTTATTATGTTATGTAGAAGAAAATCGTTCGTGTTAAAGAAACTATCTTAAAACCTTGTCACGTACAAAGTGTTAATAATAAATAATAACTAACTATAAGACTTGTATTCATTGCTGAGTATACATTACGAGGTTTTCTCTATAGTAGTAGATACTTAACATTTATACCCGTTTTTAATTATGTATGTGACCTTAACACAGTTTTCTATTCAATTTCGTATACCATAAAAAGTTCATAATAAAATTTGTGTTCTTAAAACTGTTTTCTACTACCGTTTCATAAAAACACTTTTTTCCACATTTAAAAACGCAATTTTTAATTTATCATTTTCACCGATTTTAATGGATTTGCACATCATCAGATGAAACCTGGAGGATATCTAAATTGTTATATTATTTTATGTTTTATTAAAACCAGAATTAATTTTTAAAACAACAAAATTTTAAAATTTATTAATGTTAATTATAAACATTTTGATACTGTGTGAGTAAGTAAAACAGCTTTTCGTTACTATTTCGTAACTTATTTTAAGGTTATACGCTAGACATCATGAATATTTATATTTGGTAACATTCCTACATTTTATTTAAAACTCCAATTTTGAAATAATGGGAAGAAGGTAATAAAGGAAAAAATGTGTATTGGAATATTTATTTAAATTTAAACAAAGATTTCAGAAGTCAGACAAATAGATATTAATTATACGTTATGATTCCGATAAGTATGATGCTATGTAGTAGGTTTCAACCTATTTGTGGTTTTGGCTTCTAAGTAATCGAACTTAAAAAGTTCAGTTGTAAGTAAATTTATAGTTGAAAATTTTTCAAATTTTTCCACCCCTGGGAAGAATCTTATTCTATTTCTTGGAAGACTTAAAACGTATAAATATGGAATCAAGCAATATAAAATATGGCATTTAAACTTTCCAATATGCTGGCAAAAAAAGGGTGCAAGTGATGCAGTGTATATACAAGTAGCAACAACACTTTCCAAACACTTTCTAGCATGAGGAAATAAAAAAATATAGTTATTTTATTAATGTCGCCTGTTTTCCTCAATTGGGTAGAAAAAATGTACTTCTTTTTAATTAATTTGATTCGAAACTGATACTTTCTTTGATTAAATAATTTGTACTTATGGACTACTTTAATATTAATACCTTTATTGTCTTTTGAATCAGACTTGCCTCATCCAACTATAAAATATAAAAGAATGATATGGGTATGATGTAATGATAATGGCTAAATCTCAATGTAAAATGAGTAAGTTGACAGAATATATTGCAACATTTATTACATTCTAACGAACAGTATCTTTGCATTCATCTAAAACATTTGATATGAGTGACGCTTAGGAGTTTTTAAAATTAAGGAGTCGATGCATTTATTCTGCCATTATATATGTATTCATTTATGAACTTTGCATTCAAATGGATAATTTACACTCAATAAAAAAATAAAGGTTGTTCAACATTAACAATTTATGATTGAATTCTATAAAATATGCAACTTGATCTTCTTCTTCTTCTCCATTAGCTAAATAGCTGGTTATTATTGCAGCAATACCATTCTCTCAGGTTCTTTAACAACGAGTTTTGTCATCTCCCTATGATTCTTTTTCATGTGATTTTTCCTTGTATGATAACTTCGAGTACTTGATACTTTTCTCCTCTTATGATGTATCCCAAATAATCTGTTTAATTGTCTCAATTACCTCCTTTTTCTTTTTCATCCGTTTGCTTCTGTAAACCAATACCACAATATTGACACGGCCACACACTAGAAAAAACTATTCCAAAAGTAGATGCCCAGATTATCCAGTAGAACGTTGATTAGAGATAGCAATTCGGATCGTGATAACGATCACCTCAATATGGATACAGCAACATTAGGAAAGAGTATGCAAAATTTCTGAGGTAGAAAAAAAAACAAAAAAGATCGTTACAAGATATAATGACTCAGCTTTGACGCTTCACAAAAAGTAGGACCAGATAAATCAACAACGAATATTCATTTCACTTAACGAGTATGATATTTCTGTTATAGTATTTTATCTGGATTCTAACGAGAGATGAATTTATATTTGCGGGATAAATAAACGGGATTACATGCGGATGTATTATTTCAGACATCTCTATCTTTTTCAGAATGCAAAGAGTATGTATCAAGATACACGCCATTTATACTCATGGCTAACCCTAACCCTTCAGAAAGTCATAAAGCACAACAATTTTTTTTCAAACCTCGTGTAAAACTTTTGTGCGAATCCTAAATTCATTACAAACCCAAGTTTTCAGTCGAACTCATGCCTGAATAGAAAAACTAATGGATTTCTTCTATTTGATAAAAGTTTGAAAATCGTAAACTTTAGTTTTTGAGAGCAATAAAATTGAAATTTGTGGTTGCAATAAATTTAATTTTTCTGAATTATCGCTTTTATGTTACGTCCTAATTCATACGAAAAATTTCAACTGGATTTTTAGATACCATAAGATTTTATATCTGATTGTTATCATGGGTAGTCTTAGATATTATCCATATTATCTGTACATCTCTATTTAAAGTGCATCTTGATATGTAATAGATTCGATGTGTTCAGGTAAAAAGAACTTTCCGTTGATTTAGGCTAAAAATTGATACAAGTTTACGGTTTAATAACCATATACCAAATTTTGTCAACATAATTGTTTATTAAAATATACTGTTGCACACTACACAAAATTTACTCTGTTTATTGAGATCACCACATAAATAAAACTAAATCAAGTGCTGTGTTTGATGTAAGAAGATCAAGTTATAATTTAAAGGCTTGGTGGATGCTCAAAATCCACATCCACAAACACAAATTTAATATTGTTTTAACGTTATGTTGTTATTGTAAAATTTTTGAATTTCGAGACCTATTAAACGATTCCGATACAAGTAGTTGATCCTTTAAATGTGTGTAATTCCGAAGAAATAATCATCACAACATAACTTGGCAACAATGTATAGCCATGTTCTTGTTTAATGAGTATCCACTGCTATTAGTTCTGAACTAATACTGGCAATGGGTAAAGACAGACACGTGATCAGGCCCTCTCTCCATGTATCGTAAATGTAAGTTAGTTCTAACTAGAATTGGCAGTGCATACACATCAGTATAGATGTTTTATATTGTGTATAAATGTACATTAGATAACGTTTTATAACTAGCCTGTGTGTTGTGTCGGTCAAACAATTTGATTCTTCTTGAGTTTCATTTAATGTTCTAATGTTTCATCTAATGTTGAGAAATATGAATTCTAGCCTAATGCATTTTATACCTTTTCTCTCAAATTTCTCCAAATGGTACCAAAAAGAATAAAACTGACAGATTATTGAGCAAGGAGACAACGCTTTAGATGCGGTCATTGCTTCAATGACATCATTAGATAGACTCCCACATGGAGTTTTCTTCATACATCTAGGGATTGAAGAAAACAGATTGAAGGCAAGAGATTTAAGCATTAACAAATATCTACATCAATTTTATTAATTTATTATTCCACATAGAATTTGAATGTGTTGCGAAAAGATATTTCGCAATTTCACAAATGAAATAAAAGGTCTACGACAATAATAGAACAATAGAAAAGAAAAGGTTGCAAAAGAATTAAGCAGTTGAAGCTAAGTGTCCATGATTTTGAGGAGTTAAAGGTCTTTAATTATTGAATTTATCATGTAGCCATTGTGCTATTTCTGCAATTTTATTCATTCACGATCAAAGAAGAAAGTGCTACCAAAGAAATAGGGATATTTTTTCAAGGGTCTCTCTTTAATTTGGTACAGACATTATAAAAACGAACTTCGCCAATAGTAGAAGAGAAAGCTGACGATATTCTATTCTATCTTGTTTTAGATAATCAAGAAGTATCATTAGCAAGAAAATGAAATACCATATATTGCAAATGAATTGCTTAAAATAATTAAATACGAAAGACGTTTTTCGGAAATTGCGGTTGTTGCGGAAAAAACAGGCTTATATAATTACATTATATAATTATAAACAAAAACCTCTTATTATGAAGTCAGGAAATGACAGTGACTCAGATTTGGGGTCTAACGATACTATTTTGAGGCAAAGATTATATACCTTATTGTTTAATTAAGGCAAAAAGATCACATTTAGTTATACATATTATATTTATTTTCATACATTCAAAAATTTAAAAATAGTATATTTGTCATTTACTGATGTTACAGATTTATATGTAAAGTGTATACTCCAAATATGTTAAAGTATTCAGCTTTTTGGGATTTACAAGATTACAATAAACAAAACGAAAAGTATTGTAGCGCACAGTTAGCGGTTTACAAAAGATAACATTAATGTATACAAACAGAAACTTTTGCATTGCAAGGAGT